TACTCCCGTCGGGCCCTGTGGCCCAGTTACTGCGCTGCTTTCAGCGCCACGAGGGGCTCGTCAGACCCGATAATGTCTTTTGCATAAATAAAATAACAAAACTTTTTTAGATGCCGTGATTTGAACACATATTCTCATGCACTGAAAATGACTGTCTTTATCGCTAGGTTACACACCCATCCGTGCTCGAAAGAAATACATCTACAGCACATCTAAACCCCATGAACTTGTACCCTTTGTGTAAACTAAATGCAGAAAAACAACCTTTTTTAGTCAAACTTTAGTGATTTTTGTGGTAAAGCATTAAACGTCCTCAGTGGGACACATTGTGAAGCGGGTGTGGAAAGGAGCAGAAATCAATAAAGTTCCTTCCTTGCAAAAGTTTGAAGCCAAACTTATGTTTTCATTGACCAACTGAGGCGGCTATTATATGCCAAGACAGAAGAGTGGAAGCGAGAATGGGCGCGCCATCTAGTGGTTGGTCAGAGCCTATCTTGCTGGGCCGCGAAGAGACTCGAGTGACCACTCTTTATATAGTGTGTTTCTCTATGGTGCGACTGTCTTTTCTTACTCAGCGCATTAGTGGTGCAAGTTTCACCATGCATGAAGCCCATGCCATGAGCAAAGAGCATTCACAGTGACTGTCATTCAATGAAAGCAAGAACTCGTGTTGATGCTGTCGACGTGGGATGCCTATGTCGCCGACGGCTGATTTTAGTGTTTGGTAAGGCATCAAAAGCCTTAATAACGTGTCAAAAGGCGCTCAGTTGATACATTAGAACAGCTGTGGTTCTTTGGCGAAGTGTTTATACGCACCAATCCCATTTCAGAAGTGCGCCTTGTGGACGTATCTCACATACGAACTATATCGCCAAAAGAATGAGCTAGCGTATAAATCAACTAGCTTGCTACTATACGCGATTACTTCGCAAGAGCTCCATTTACAAATATAAACCGTCACACAAAATAGCAAATAAACATTCCTACGACATGACACGTATGTGCGAGGTTCCCAAATGGTGCACGCACCCAATGACTTGAAGGCTTGCACTGCTGCGTTTCCTTGCACCACGAGTCCCCTGGATGATCGGTCAACGTAAAAGAGCCACGGAGAGCAATCTGCTCTGAAGTATACGAGCACGCGAAAAAATCCAATGGAGAGTAGCAATGTTAATTTGAGTTGCTGCAGTCCAGTTTTGTTTATTCAAGACAGCAACGCGAAATCTCTGATACTCCGTATTAACAATTTTGAGCGTCTTTTCGCTTACATTCTAAGTGCAAAAACCACTATCGTGAACCTAAACCAGCCGACTGATAACGACAAGTAGAACACGTAAGGATTCGGTCGCTGGATTTCATGCCGACTGATTGTGCCCTCGCGATCTCTAATGAAAGTGCAGCTCTGGCCGACTGGGCTGGCCCTACGCCATCTCCTGACGCCGATCTCCAACGACAGCGTAGCTGTGGCCGACTGGGCTCGCCCTATGTCATCTCCTGACGCCTAAAAAGCTCTCGCCAGTGGTGCCCCGTCCTCGGACTCCTGCGCCCGTCTTCATCTCTCCTATCTTCTCCTCACTTCCGTCGTTCACTTTGCCTGCGCCTCGCTCTCTCCTTTCTCTCCCTCCACATCTTTACCTTTTAATCCTATCCTTTCAATCCCTCCTTTACCGCTACTCCTCGTGAGCTACTGTTGAGGTGTCCTCCCCATGAGAGACAGTTACGGGGCTCACTTTTCTTTTATTTTCCTTTAAAATCACTCCCCCCCCCCCGAACACGTAAGCTTGTATTGCGGACAAAAAACAGCCTCCACAGAAGCGTTATTAAAACCTGAATGATAAATCGCGACGTCTTGCATAAATAACTGCGATTTGTAGTGAAAGGCACAACAAACACTCACGGAAAAACGAACCGCAACGCAATTCTTAAGTGAAAAGTATTTCACAGCACAGTGCGCACGGCAGGGCAAGTTCGTATCTGTCAAAACAGATGCGCAGCGCACAAAGGAGTCCGTGCCCCCAGAGCAAAGATGTCTGTCGTGAGCGATTGTAAAGAAACGAACACTGCGAGCGATTCCACATGATAGCATCTGGCCAATACCGACGCGGCGCCGGCCTCGGAGAGGTTGGAGGAAGAGAAAAGAGAGGAGGCGCGTGAATAACCACGTACGTCGCTACTTTACAAAGTTTAAAGTTCTTTAACCGATTTGGCATCGCGCCTACTCCTGAAGCGTGCAGAGCATCCGTACAGAGGGGCAGTGCTACACAAGCTAGGTAAAAAGCTTTGCTTTAAAAGTGGCACATAGTCAGCTTCTCCCTCAGCGTTTCGCATGTAATCGACTCCCACAATGTGTGGGTTATGAGGGAATATTGTAGGGGTGAAGCACTTTAGGGCGGGGCCTCGTCCGTCCTCGATGCCTATCACGAAGTAACTCGTTTATGCGACACAATATCATAATATCAATGATACTTGTGAGAGAGCTATATTAAAAATCGAGAAGTACAAATCCAATACACCAATCAGCGACTTCAGCATGCACATAATAATTCATAGGATCTAGTGTTGTCGTCGACGATCACTGTCCTCTGCCATTGCTGTTAGAAAACCGTAACTGTAGTCGAAGAGTGTGTGAATATTTGAATAAACAGAAGGTTTACAATTGACGCACAAAAGTTATAAGTGTTGCCGGACAATATAAAGCCTCTACAAGGACAAACCTTTCGCACTACTTGGCAACTTCAACGTAGACATTATGAGCCTCAGAAGCGAGCTTTGTCCTCGATGTCATTTTGACACTCAATATACATTCTATGGGGTAACGATGTGAGACACAAAAAAGACTTAACACTAGACTAATATCAAGCATGCTCGTGCGATAACTATAACAAAAATTGAGAAGTACAAATTTGTTACACCAGTGAACGTCTTCAACATTCACATAAATATCCACAAGATCTATTATTCTTGTCGACGCTCAGTATCCTCTGCCATTGCGGTTAGAAAACCATAACTGTAGTCGAAGAATGTGTGAGTATGTGAATAAACGGAAGCTTTAGAATTAATGGACAAGTCATAATTGTGGCGGAACTATATAAAGCCCCTACAAGCATAAACCTCTAATACTATTCGGCGACTTCAACGTAGACATCATGAACCTTAGGAGCGTGCTTTGTCCTTGATGTTACTTTGACACTCAATCTGAATTCTATGGAGCAGTGATGTGGGACACAAAAAAAAGTTGTACAATAGCACAATATCAATCGTATTTGTGACAGAAAATGGAACACGCCTACGAGCACATACACTTTACGCTACTCGGCGTCTTCAACGTAGTAATATTATGTGCGATTTTAAGTCCCAAAACAACCATATGATTTGAGAGACACCGTGGTGGAGGGCTCCGGAAAGTTTGACCATGGTGCGTTCTTTAACGTGCACTAACATCCCACAGTACATGGGTCTCTACCATTTTGCCTCCGCCCCGCCGCGGTGGTCTAGTGGCTAATGTACCCGGCTGGTGACCGGCAGGTCACGGTATCGAATCCCGGCTGCAGCGGCTGCATTTTAGATGGAGGCGAAAATGCTGTAGGCCCGTGTGCTCAGATTTGGGCTCACGTTAAAGAGACTCAGGTGGTCGAAATTTTCGGAGCGCTCCACTACTGCGTCTCTCAAAATCATCGGGTGGTTTAGGGTTGTTAAACCCCACAAATCAATTAATCATTTCACCTCCATCAAAACGAAACCACCGGGGCTGGGATCGAACGCGCAACCTTTAGGTCAGCAGCTGTGCACCATAGTTCCTATTCCGCCGAGGTGAAAGGTGATTTCGACATAGACAGGTGCACCTTAGGACTTAGCGTCATCCTCTCGTCATAATTCACTTTGTTGAGATTAGTGTTTTTTTCTCGTTTTTTTTTTTTGCTTCTGCGTGCTCGTGCCGAGTTTAACGTACTTGAGTAACGCTGGTGTTTCTTTGTCCTAGTGGAGCTGGTCAGCGTTCCTTTCGGCCCTGTTCGACGATGATGACGCAGTCACGGGCAATGCAACGGTCATCGTGAAATCCCCAAAGTTCTTAGAGAAGCTGATGAAGATTCTCGAGACCACCTCCAGGTGCATAGCAGGGCACACCCACATGCTTGTCTGTCTGTTTAGCGTCGCAAAATAATAATATTTGTTGAGGTAAATATTAGAGACGCCATAGTGATGGCCTCCGGAAATTTCGACTACCTGCACCTAAATTCTTTAACGTGACCTTAATCTAAACGCATCGGCCTTAAGAATTTTGGCTTCCATCGGAAATGCGGCCGCCGCGGCCGTGAATAAATCCCGTGACCTGTGAGTGAGCAGCCAAGCCTGTAAGTAACTGGACCATTGTGGCGGGTAGCTGCACAAAAGAGCGCCGATTTGATCGTCTGTGGAGCACACAGCTACTTCGTGTGCATCTGGTGCTATAAAATCAGATGAATATTTATGAGCGCAGTAAGCAAGCAACGTGTCACTGAATGTTCACAAATTGATACCTTGTAGTACTTCATAAAACGTTTTAGGAAATGCATTCTCGCACTTTTTTTATATAAAACTGAATGCTTTAGGAAAGGACTCGACATTTTGTGCATTAAAGGCTGGGATTGCCTCTTTCCTGCAGCTATGACGTTTGTAATCTCCATTGATATTTCACGCCATTGAAGGAACTTCTGAGTATAAAAGAGTAAGATTGACGTGGAATAGAGACGCATTCGACTAAGAATCAAGTTCCTGCAAGTGAGGGATTATGCATCAGGAGTTCCTTGGCGGCTCGTGAGCCCAGTCTTCTCACTCACCCCATCCATGTTCTTGTGCAATGTTTACAAAATTCGGTGCTTGCTTCAAGAGCAACTGTAAGAAATTTTCAATGTTTCCCAGCTTATGCGTGGAATGTAAATTCGGGAAGCAGCTAATGCGTACTTCATTCCTTATATGCAGACATACGCTGTTGAACTACTTGGGATACAGAGTCATGTGTGCCTTGGCAGCGTTCTTGCCTACTCGGGCGCAGTCACTTGCCAAGATGCAGTGGGAGCGCCAGCTCGGCTACCGTGAACTACCAGAACGCTGGCGTGTCTGCTTGCGCACCGTCGATGCCGTCATGTCTTTGACCATGCACGCACTGCACTTCGAACACTATGTCAAGAAAAACTCGCTCAACTTCAAGAACGTAAGTACTACAGTGCACTACAGTGAGGGTGGTGGGTTCAGACGCGTGCGTCTAATGGCGCAATGAGTATTTCTTCTTGAAAGGCAATGTGGTTTTTAGACGTTTCGCGCCAGCGCTGAGTGCATGTTTGGGTTATTTTAGTGGCCTCGTCTTATACTGAAGTAGCTCTTACTATCCATACAGTTGAAATTGTCTGCTAACGCATTACTAGTTGGCGACAATAGAAACACGTTACCGCTGTGATTGCAGCATGGGTTCGAGAGATGTCGACTCTCTTCCCCAGAGTGGCGGTTCAGTGACGGCCCTTCGCCGAAGTAATAAGGTTATAATCCGGGGAGCGCGATTTTTGCTTGTGTGTATTCATAGCACTATCAGGCATTTTCGACAAATGTATGTGCCTAGAACGCATGCTCAACACCTTCCAGGGTTTCGCGGTGACCGAACATAACAGTGAAGTTGCGGAGAACACTGTGACTTTTGCGTAAGAAAAAGATTTACATGCCGTAAAGCTGCATGTTTTCACGAAAATAATAAAATACAACCACAACATTCATTTGATGAGCCGAAAATAATAAATTGCAATTGCACAGTTTCCTGGTGGGCGGAGGCATTGCCTTATATAAACGTAACGTAATTTTACTTTCAAGTTGGAATTTTACTTTGTGCAACCTATTACGGTTATAATTGGCATAAAATATTACGAAAGACACCCAACAACCACAATAACTTACTCTAAGGACTGTTTAGACTCCATAAATATTACAAATTTACGTGTTCAAAATGGCATGGCTGCACACACTGTTACATTTCATTCGACATATTCACATAACAACAGGACACCTACACACCTCGGCTATACTGCCAAGTTCGTAGGCATGTCCGATTATTGGAGGAAGATTTCAGCTACGTATGAAAGCAAACAATGTCGTTCAACAAGTTTGCGTATCATAAGGCCTGTTGCAAAAAAACATGGCATTTTTTTCCGGCACCACAGTCGCTTCATCGCATAATGTCCAAGTGCAATGGTGCGCGTACCTATTCAGAAAAACAATGCTTGGTCTAGAACTTGGAAGGTGTTTTGAAGTGTACTAAAAAGTCACAGTTTCACCAAAAGGATGAGGCAATTAATGCGATAGCAACATTTTCGAATGTTTGACGAAGCAATTTAAGAGAACCATTTTAGGAGCAATAATAAATGTAGTTAACATGCGCTTGCTAAGTGAACAAGTTTCTTGCGGCACGGCCACAGTAGATGACCGCAACAAGGCTCGTACGTTGTGACGGCGTTGATGAAAAGTGCCTCCCGTGGGCAGCGCATGCTGGTAATAAGCTCTATACGCCGTGTGCCGCCGCTGGCGGCAGTTTATGTGTAGATACTAGATCGTATCTATAAGGGGTGAGGCCCTCTCTCGGGTGTACTCGGAATGATAGTAATGCAACACCCACACGGCGAAGTAATATACGTATTTAATTACGTGCATGAATTAAAGCCGAATTACGAGCAGAATTAAAGGAGTGAATATAAGTGTAATACAGCTCACTTGATGACAGCAACAACCACCTTGTGGCCACTGAAGTATGTTGGAAACAGCACGCAGTGCACTCGAAAAGCAACACTCTTTCCGAACACAATTCCTAAGCACGCGTTGTTGGGTGTAGTTGTCTGTGGGGCGTCAGACAGGAGGTGAATTCTAAGTGCAGCACCGAGAAAAGCTACAAGCCACTCGCTTTCAACATTCACGTGGAAGAGACTTCACAAGATATTTCTACATTCATGTTGAAGTCTCTTGTGACGATCATCGGCACATCCTCATGTCACACTACACTGAAGTTGCAGAGTAAGAACCTAATGTCATTCCGCGAGGCCCCCAACGATCTGTAGACTGCTGTGACGATGAAGCCATGTGCGTGTGGCGTTTTGAAGCCACATGCATCACTCCAAGGCACTTGGGGCAGTTGAGTTGGTTTGAAACGCGTGTTGGTAACAGTGTTATCCCGTCGAAGAATTCGTGAATGGAGACTCCAGCTGCTCGGTGGTTTCGCCGTTTTGCAAGGCTGATGCACTTGCAACTTGGCAGTTCGATGGCAGTGTCAATCCACGTTCCCTTGGAGCATAGTATACGTACTTCGCAGACGACTTTATCGTGCGAGACAGCGACGGCATTCGCAAGCAACGAGCGTATGTTGGTGCTGCAAATTGCCTATGTGTGCGGTGAGTGGAGTATGTCGGAACGGAGCACTGGATGATGGCGGAGTATCAAGTTGATTAGCTTACAATCGTCGAAATTAGTGCGACAATGTGCGATCCGGATTTTCTCTACCATGCTGAATGGTGATGTCCTGGTCTGCGTTTGTTAAAAGCAGTCCTTTCAGTGTGGTGGCTCGACTCAAAGCAGCGTATACGAGCATCTGTGCATGTGTGAAGACACGCGACAGGGGCAGCTCTGCAAGCACTCGTACGTATGAGTGGGCATGAGTATACATGCCCACTTATTTGCAAATGGTTTGCTGTAGCCTGAAATTTCGAAATGCGCGCAAAGGCGTTTGCCGACGTATGCAGGCGAAGTAAAATGCACACGGTCGGTAAGTCATGCAGGCACGGGCACAAAGGTGATAACGCTATTGGTTGGTCTCTGTCCGTAAATACTTGAGACAGTGGGAACCCAGTGAAGGTAATTATGTGGCACGCATGCGGCTTTATGCGGCACCCCACGTTTCCGATCAGTCCCCGGCGTATCAGGCTTCAATAACTTATGACAAATGGTGCAAAACCTGCACACCGCGCATAGCCGATGGATACCTAGCTGTGTTTTAAGAAGATTTCTCGGTGGGGATATCCATACTCGTGCGCATGTTGTCGAAGTCAGTTGGCGACTGTGGCAGGGATGAGTGCACAAAATCAGTATCACCAAGAAGATGAAGAAAGGAATGTGTTCGCGAGCAATTCAATGTTACACGAAGTGAGGCTGGCAGTTCCCTCACTTGAATCTGATCTCAAGTACCTCTACAAAACGCTGTCGTAAGAGAACATGGCCGCTCCAGGTACACTTTTGGCTCCGTTTTTCTAGGTGTTTGTGTGTGTGTGTGTGTGTGTGTGTGTGTGTGTGTGTGTGTGTGTGTGTGTGTGTGTGTGTGTGCGTGTGTGTGTGTGTGTGTGTGTGTTTTGAGAGCTCATCTTGTATAAGCTCCTGCCTGCTGTGGGAGGACAAGCCGCGCGCTGATCGTAGCCGCGATAACGCGGCAACTATAGCCCCCCCTCCTCTCCTTGTTTTCTCACAAGATATGCGCGCGCGCAGACGACTCCGGCTGGAAAGCCGATGTTCACTCCGCAGGAAGAGGAGGCTAGCGAAGCATTCGCAGTACATACATACACACATATACATATGCGTGAATGACGGCCGCTCCGGCAGCAGCGGCGACTATGAGGACGACGGCAAAAACCAGCCGAGACTCTCCATATAATTTCTATCGCGATAAAAGTTCAAACCATTTTGTACCTCATATGAGCTGGCTACTCCTTGTGCTTCTTCACTAGCAGGCAATTTATGCCTCCTTCATTCGGCGTCGACTGGCTTTTCAGGTCATATCCGGAGGATGGCGCTTCCGTGGTTAGACTTCTGTTGCTGCTAGTCATTTGATCGATTCGTCGCTTTGTTTTGCTTCTACTCTTGAGAGTCGTTTTGCTGAAGAACACGGGGAGATTTGGAAGCATCGTCAAAACAGCGCCTTCTGGAAGCGTTGATCTTCCACGAGGAATACGTACCTTTTCGCCGTCAATGATATGAGTGCAGTCGATCATGCGGCCCAAAATGCTACTCCTCATCCACTGTTTGCCAAAAGTGTACCTTTAGGCGGAATTCCACTGGTTTCATAGTGACCATATAGAAAGTCACAATAATAAACATGAGAAGTTATAGAGAGAGTTTTGGCGCTACCTATTTTATTTAATGTACCAGCCTGAACAGCAAGATAGGTGGCACATTCGTCATGGCCAGCAAGTCGGCATCTCCACCAATGATATCTACTGCTAACTAACAGCGCTATAAGCCTTATACTAGCTTATCAATTTACACATATTGGCGCGCGTATGTGCCAGTGGTGGGGAGAACAAATCAGCGCGAGTGTCTTTGACTGAGTGCAGAAGACGAAGAAGTCGTTGCAGTTTTTTTCCCGCGATCGATAAACCATATTTGTTTGGGGCGCTTTGTGTGCTCGTCGATGACGCGTCGTCACACTGGTGGGGGTGATGGGTAGTCTTCATGCTCGGCACCCCTTCACGGACCCGACATTCGAGCCCGGAATCGCTACTACCCGTCGACACACCAGTCCACCGTTTCAGTCGCCGTCTGCGAGGCTTGGCTCCCGAGCTCAATCCCTTGCCAGAAACTGCCAGCAATCGCTCGCCTCCTCCAGCCACCATGGCTACTGCAGCACCATCGCACATGACACTTCAGAATCCTATGATTCCTGACTGCTTTCATGGTGAGACCTATGAAGACGCACAAGACTGGCTGGACGAGTTCGAACGCTGCGCAAAGTACAACCAGTGGACCACCCCGGAAGACAAGCTCGCGAATGTGTACTTCTACCTTGAAGATAACGCCCAGACGTGGTACATCAACAGGGAAAGAAGCATGGCTACGTGGTACGACTTCCGCAACCAGCTGATTGACACCTTTACTAGCCTCGACAGTAAAGAGAATGCGCAACGTCTCTTGGAAGTTCGAATTCAAAAACAAAATGAGAGCGTTGGTATGTTCGCCGAGGACATGACCCGTCTTTTCGGCAGGGCGGATCCCGAGATGCCGGAAGACAGGAAGCTGCGGTATCTAATGCGAGGTGTGAAGGAGCAAATGTTTGCTGGGCTAGTGAGAAATCCGCCGACCACAGTAGCTTAGTTCACGAAAGAAGCCACAGCTATTGAACGGGCCCTACAGCAACGGTACCGCCAGCAGAACCTGGTCAACTTTCGAGCGAGTAGTCCCGTTACGACTGCGGCG